ATGTGACACATGTAAAAATTGGCGAAGGTTACTCCAAGAGGAGAGCCCATGGCAACTCCGTCGACTTGCTGGTATAGCGAACCATTTGTTTTCAGTGCTGCAAATTGTAAATGAAACTATCTTGTGTCACACAAGGCTATCAATTTCTATTCAGAATTGTAGGAAAAAATTAAATGATGTTTTTATTCATTTCTTCATATAGGCGTACTTCCACTGTCATTCATGTCTTCTTTTACCATTGTTTATCACTGTATAATCTTGGCTGATGAACCGAATGTCATAACTATTGCTTTTAAGATAATTAGCTTTTAACACTTTTATCACACAAAGAATAAAAGGAGACTGTATTTCACGTAACTGTGGTACAGCCAGAATGTACGCTTTACCAAAAATACACAAACCTAATGTACCATACAGACACATTAATTGTAAGTAGTATAAATTCTGCTACACACTCTTTAGCTAAGTTATTAGTTAAGAAACTGTCTGATTTAAACATTCACAAGTGAAGGAACTTAAAGACATTGAAATCCAGGATAATGATTTACTTGTATCACTAGATGTTGTCTTTGTTCACAAACATTCCAGTAGATAAAGCCTTAGATACTTTATTCAACAGATTACTTGATATTGAAGACCTACCATTAGAACATATCAAATAATTAATTAACCTTACAGAAAACTGTGTGTAGAATTGCATATTTAAAATTAAAGATAAATTTTATCAACAAGTTAAAAGTCTAGCAATGGGGTACCCTTTATCTCCTCTTTGAATGATATATTTATGGATTATTTTGAAGATTCTAATTTACAAAAAGCTTTAATAAAACCTGTAGGATATAGATGACACCTTCATGGTGTGGCAACACAACAGTGATATACTTAGAGTTCTTAGAGTACATGAATGGTAATGATGAAGAAATTACATTCACTATGTCTATCAATGAACATGAATTGGTTTTCTTGGATGTTCTCATTAAAAAACACAACAATAAGCTAAAATTCAGTGTATTTCAAAAATCTTTTGCCACCAACATACCACCACATTATAACTCTAAGCATTAAAAAAATGAATGACAAGCATATACAAATGAAATACTCTACATTAACTCCAATAAAAACATCTCAAAACAAGTTCATTATTATAACATTTTTTCCTGGGATTTTGGAAAAAATTGCTAAAGGTTTCCGATTAAAAGGTTACAAAGTAGCATTCATCTCACAAAACAAAATTGTCAATCATTCAAAAATACTCAAAGATTCAAGAAAGACTAAGGATAAATATGGAATTTACCAATTCAGTTGCAGTTGCGGTAAAATGTACGTAGGACAAGCAAAGAAGAAACTAAAAATGACATTGAAAGAACACCAGTATGACATAAAAAATGTTAACACTATGAATTAAAACTTAATAATGAGAAACCTACTCTTAAGAAAATAAAAGTTTTGAGACAGCTTAACTGGGTAATGAAAAAACTTTTTATTATAACCTGAGAATGACAAAATCTTGTTGAAACATCGTACAGTTATAATAAAGTTTTGTCATTACCCAGTCAAGCCATTTCAAAACTTTTATAGTAACACTATGTTTTTTACTGTAGTTGACCATTTCTGGAACTCTGACAGAAATTTTGACTGGACAAACGTAAAGATCTTAAGAAATGCTCAAACAAACACACAAAAAGAACTTAAAATAGAGTATTTGCATAATTAGAAATAGATGTGTGTGTATAAACAGAGATGATGGACCAACGAACATGTCCCATTGAAATACTTATTTAACTTAAGTATTTCCCCATTTACAATTAACTTTTCACCCCTTGTTTTTGAAAATGAACTCGCCCATTAACGGTTTGTAACTGAATATATTTTAAGGTAACACTGCAGATATTAGCCCTGCTGATGGTAACTGCATTACCAAAACTAGTCAGCTGTAAGTAATAATAAATATTTTACCTTTCATTGTGCCAAAAAATGTTGTTTTTTGTGTTTTCTACTCTTAATTAACTCTTTCAGCATGGGCTCAATCTCTAGGACTAACCTCGTAACCATTTTATGCTTATTATAGTTTTCATGCTATAACTTTTAAATTAGTAAGTGTGTGTTCACGAAATTAGGCAGATTATCAATAAACATTACAAGGCTTTCATACACAAAATATCAGATTTTTTCATTAATTCTTAAGGTTTGTTAAGCAATATTTTTCTCATGCCTTTTTTCTTTTCACTTGTTACCTATCCAACATGCAAAGTAATATTCATTTTAAGATTAAAAATACTTTTATGCATCGGAAGATTTTCAAATTTCATATGCAAAATCTTTATAATGTCTAGATAGTTATCAAACATTTCTTAACCCTTTTCATATATATGAGTCACATGTGAAAGGCCATGTCATCTCGTTTGTTGACTCACATTCAAAATTTTATTGAACTACTACTTCATTAATTTATATCAATAAGTTTGGTATCAAATTGTATATTATAATTCAAATTTTAGAACTATACATTACTCAATTTGTTAATTTAAAAGTATATATTAAAAAAACACAGATAAACATAGAATTTTGTGTGGCACGTGGTATATTGAATGCAGCACTGGTTCAAATTAGATGTTTGTGAAGTCAAAATACTCAGTCTATAGTTTTATACAAATCAGAAACTCAGCTTACAGATATTGACAAGCTAGAATATCAAATAAGAAGGTTCTATTATTTCTATCTCCTCACGTAATAAATCAAGCATAATAGAACCCTACTCACCTCCTTCCATTTTTGGAAATGCTCCCTTATATACACTTACTTCTATATATGACACGAATAACCAATTGGAGACTCATAATGTCCCACTAGTGGTTTTCTAAGACTTTCTAATGCAGGTAGTGCCATTTCTTTCTATTAAATCAAGATTTTGATGAGGTAGGTTGTGTCTTGATCTGCTCAAAATTTCACATTTTTTTGATGCAAATACAGCTTAGTTACTATGTTTGATAAATTACAGTAGAATTCTATGGTGTTGATGTAGTAATTTAAGATTTTGTAGTTATTCAAAAGTATATATAAAACCTAAGAAAAATATTTTGTTTCATGTCCTCCACATAAAAATATTCTAAAGCTCAGCAACCAAGTACAAAGGTCGTAACTAGAAGAGATAATTGTTTGCTTTACTTCTTTATTTATTGTTCTATGTTTTAGGATAAATAACTTTAAGAACTTACTTAAAAATAGCAATAATCTATATACATATATAATGTATAATAATTGAAATGTGACTGTATTTTACAAAATACTAGTCGACTAAAACACAGCCAAGACAAGTTACTTTGTACAGACCAAAGGTCATCTTTATGTTATTTGATACGGTAACATGAGTGCACATGAGCAGCGTCGTTGTAACTTCTGTATTGTTAGCCAGGCACGGGTGAAAGATCAAAATAATAAATATATATATAAATGTATAATGTTATGAGATTTAAGCTATTTCATTTAAGCATTTATGTTTTCATGTTATAATCTGTTTTCATTCTAGAATGAAAGATGCATAATCTATGTTTATTTCCTAAATTTTTTATGGTGGTTGTGAGATCAGTCAAATTTACTGAACCCATGCAGAGATTAATTACTGAAAATAACAGATAAAATATCAAGTTTTTTCTTAAGAAACGTTTGATAACTATTTGGACATTATAACGATTTCGCATGTGAAATTTCTAATTAATTTTGAAGTGATATATATATATTTTCCTTTATGCACTTACTATATTTTCGGGTGTACCATGTTTCTTTGTAATTCTCTTCATTATAAGTATTAAGTTTTAATGTTAATATGAAAATCACTTTGCACGATAGGTAGGCAAGATGTGAAAAGAAAAAAAAAAGCACGAGAAAAACATTGCTTTACAAACTTTAAGACTTAATAGAAAAATTTGATATTTTGTGTATGAAAGCATTGTAATGTTTACTGATAAACTGCCAAATTTCATTAACATTCGCTTACTAATTTAAAAGTTATAGAATGAAAACTATGACAAGCACAAAACGGTTTCGAGGTTGGTCCTCAATTCTACTCACAAGTGAATGCTGTATTTGATGAAATTGACAGAGAATTATCTTATCGTAAT